TCCTGCACAGTGTGTTTTACTTTATAAGTTCTTATCGCCTGTTCTGTTAATTGCCTGTTAAAGCCTGCATTAGCCTTTGCATTGTGAATAAAGTTAAATTAACAGAGAAATACATTTGGGTTTCTAACATAAACACACTGTGCTGTAAGACTGGTTTGAAAATAAAACTTTATTTCATGGAGGCTGTGTGTGTCACAGTCATGGGAGGTTTGGCCAGGGATGCATAGATAAAGTGATTTAACTCCTAAATGACAGAGAATTGAGTTTTAACACTACGGAGGCATAATGTATATATCAAAACTGCTTCAAAAAAATACATTTGTTTTTATGCTTAGAGTATCTCTTTAATATTGCCAGGTCTTGATTAGGAAATATATTTGTTTTACAAAACAATATCACTCACACATTTAAAAGCTCTTGAAATAGTGCATTGGTTTACTGTAAGGTTTCATTACCCTGAGGATATTTGAACAAAAGATGGATGAACTATTAATTTTGTATGCAAATGTTGCCTTCTGCATCTTGATATATGAATAGCATCTTAATGTATACTTGATCAAGGGAACTACAAATAAGTGAAGTTTTAAATTATAGATAATTGTGTTACTTAGATCTTTTTTTTATTTTCTCGATTCTTAGTTTGATTAAATTCTTTATTACAAGAACAGAGAAATATGCAGACCGTCTCAATTATATGAATGAAACTTACTGCATTGACTGGAAAAAATATATCTATGTATAGCGCGATGTTCCAAATATAGAACCTGGCTATTAGAAATAATATGGTCAGAGACCCTAATTAAACAAAGTATATACAAGTGAACCTACAATCCTATGCCAGCCCAGGGTAGTATAGATCAAGAGATAGTAAAAAAGATAACCTCACTCCCCCTTATAATTAAGCTTTATTGTGATCTGCTATAGGGATAGGAGTATACAGTAGCTAAGTCTCTATAATCCATGCATCCTAGGAAGTATCCTGGTCACACTAGAAACATATTAAGAAAAACAGAGAGAGATAAGGACTGAAAATAGAAGTAAAAAAATCAGTCAAAAACAGACTGATAATTAGCATTAGTAAAGCCTCTCTCCCTGTAAAGCTAGCTAGATAGGCATAGGAAAGAAAAGAAGAAAACGATATAAAATAAAGTTAAATTAGATGGTGATCATGGTGCTCCAAACACCAGTGCCCAGTGCAGAAAAAACGCCCAACGTACGTTTCGGTGCAGAGAGATGCACCTTCGTCAGGGGCCAGGGGACCTTTTAAAGCTTAATTATAAGGGGGAGTGAGGTTATCTTTTTTACTACCTCTTGATCTATACCACCCTGGGCTGGCATAGGATTGTAGGTTCATTTGTATATACTTTGTTTAATTAGGGTCTCTGACCATATTATTTCTAATAGCCAGGTTCTATATTTGGAACATCGCGCTATACATAGATATATTTTTTCCAGTCAATGCAGTAAGTTTCATTCATATAATTGAGACGGTCTGCATATTTCTCTGTTCTTGTGTTTATATTTGGGGTTAAGCCCCTCTGAGACAGCTGGAGTCTCATACTGGTACGTTGGTCTCTGAGTGACCCCTGCAGCCACTGCCCCCCTTTTGGGGAGGTTTTGAGGTGGTGGGTGCGGCGGCTATACAGGGACTTGGAACGTTGTGTTCCTTGTTCTCTTTTTTGATTAAATTCTTTATTACAATATGTATTAAGTGGAGTTTATTAATTAATGTGAAAAAAATCATATTCACCGTTTCATTTGATGATTACCAGAACATCTGCAAATCCTTTATAACTCCACTTTGTCTTCCTGAATTTGACAGATCTAGAGGGAGTTGTGTTTGTAGTCTGATGATTCTGTTTAATGACAAAGAAATATAACGATGTGCAAACATTATTTTTATTTATTTATCTATTTATTTGTTGAAGCCTGGGGAAACATGGACACCTCCAGATGACAATTGCACCACATACAGCTGTGACTCCACATTTGTGCTCTTGGCTACCAAGTCCATCTGTCCAGAGTTTGACGACACAAGGTGTCAGGAGGTAAGGCTTGCTTTTTTCATCAAAAGTATATATATATTTTTTTTATAAATTCTTTATTTTTGTTGTGCATGTAATAACAGTAGGCTTGCTCAGCCACAATAGCAATCGCAAGAATATTGAACAGGTATTGTAAACATGAAATGGCTTACGAATAGACAGCACAATATTTCTGTAGATGATGATGTTAGGAATAGACAGTGTAGAGACAGAATATGTTGTAGGTTTCAAGCTTTTCTTGTCTATGGTGATTATGTAAGTTAAGGTTCAACGTTTATAGTACAAACTATGCAAATTAGAAGTTTAACACCTACATATGGGCAGGCTTAGATAGTCAACGTTTATAGTACATGCTAGGGGGATTAAAGTATACATTTTTATGCATGCCATGTAAAATTAGTAAACGTACAAAATCTAAAATAACATTCAAGCTAGGTCTATGTAGGTCGCTTTAACCCCTTAAGGATCAAACTTCTGGAATAAAAGGTAATCATGACATGAAACACATGTCACGTGTCCTTAAGGGGTTAAAGAAGCTATCACCCTGGTTGATCTGGGTTACCCGGGCTGCCTCAGTAGGAGGGAGCCGGCATCATGGTGGTCCCGAGACCTCACAGATAGGGGGAGTCCCATGATTATCCGATACCTGCTTTGCTATGTCTGTGTAGCAGGGAATGAATGTCCATCAGAGCATAGTCCATCCATGCTTTACCGTGAGTTCTTCACTGGGTTCCCTTGGGTTGCAGCCATGGTATGTTGAGCTTGCCACTTTTAGACATCTGGAGGCTGGTGTCAGCCATGGTAGGGAACTGGGTGTTGTCCGCATGAGCTTGCTGCTTTCTGGGTCGTCTTGTTGCAGGCTGGGTGGGAGGTGAGTATGAGGTCGGTCCTCTTGCAGGGAGGGGTATCTCGCTTGGGGTTAAAGAAGCAGGCTTGGTCATCCCTGGCGGGAATGTTCGGTGCACGGTGTTCCATCCCCTCAGTGCAGCAGCTGTCACCTGCTTGCTCGAATCGCCTGTGCAGCTCGCCGCTGGCTTGGATGGCTGTGGGGGTAGGTGAGGGTTTTTCTGTCCCTCTGTGTTGCAGGGTCGGAGGGCAGGAACCTCGTTGTAAACTGTAAGCGCGAAGAAGGAGCAGGTCTTCCCCCTGCCACCCGCGCACATGGAGTCTGCCATCTTGCATGCGGCGCTCGGGCCCCCCGGCCCCAACTGCGATATCAAGGTCAGGACCACAGGGTGAGGACCAAGATCACCCCCACCGGTGCATGGGGGGGGACAGGGCCGTGTCTGCACGGGTTTGGGCCTCTGGCTGGGTTCTTTGATACAGGGTAGCGGGGCAGCAGCCGTCTGCCCCACTCACTGCCGGAGAAGGCCCCAACTGGGGCAACAAGAGTTTCTTCTCCAGGGGACTGAAGCTCGACGAGCCAGCCTCTCCCTGGATCCAGTATTTCCTTTGCTCTGGGTACCATCGCTGTCGGTCTGTTTTTAGGTGGAAAGACATATTTTAGTAGTTTATTCTTTGATGTGTTGCAGGAGCTGCTCTTGCTTGTGACCTTCCAGCTCAGCGATCCCGACCCGCCCCCAAAAGTATATATTTTTTTAAAGTCAGTTACACAGTATTTTTCATGATAATTAATATTGCAACACTTCTGTCCTTTTGTATCAGTTATGACATTAAGACCAAACAAAAATATCTTTTGTGTCTATATTGTAACGGACCGTTTTGCCCACAAGAGGTTAAAAACCGTTTAGGCGATATTCCCCTTTTTCAGATGCACAGACAGCTACTGCAAGCACCAATCTCCCAAACTGCAAACCCAAGAATTCACCAACTCCTGAACTGCAACCAAGGGAATACTCGAAACTCCCGAACCGCATACCAAGTAGCACTCCAAACTCCTGAACTGCAGACACACGAATAGCTGCTAGCAGACGAACAGGAAAAGCCCCTGATGTGGTTTAAATTCAGCAGACAGCAATGCTTTTTCTCAGGTATGAAGACAAGGAATGGACACAGCAGAAATACGAGCTCGGAGGGCAGTACTCATTCACACAAGTGTATGGCAGAATACTACACCTAATTTTAATGGGGAAGACACAGATCTTATAACAAAATTCTGTACACATCCAAAAAGGGGTTGTCTTCACATAATACAGTCATGTCCTGTCAATTGCATATTAAAAGAACTTAAAGCACATTTGGCATTAGCTGGTCAAAAGGTGTTACTTGATTAAACAAACACTTCCCAACAAGGTGTTATCAGGATATGCAGTGCAGGGGGGGAAACAAGAAGAAGATACAAATCAGGATCAAAGGCCAGCTGTTATAATAGAGCATCCTGACATTACTAAATCTACTGTGTAGTGTGACACAGGATATAAGGGGAAAGGTGCTCATTAATCCATATCATTCCAATCTTTTATTCTGAAAGAATAACAAATCAGTAAATTAATTAATTGTCTATTATAGCACTCAGGGAAGAAAAAAAACTTCAGAACCGTTATTTCTGAAGAAAATCTCCGGGGAGCCATGGCTATAATAAGACCGTCCCTCCCTCCTGGACGAATTAAGGTTTATTAAACAATTATTTAAATTTAGGGCTTGGTATAAATTCTTTACAGATCCAATAAAATGATTGTCTGTTTCCCATGATGAAGAAGATAAAGCCTGCTTAGAGTGAAATATATTAATAACATATTTTACTATCACTGTTCTTTGGGATCAAATAATATTAATCAGCGCATAACCAAGTCCCATGGAAAAAAGAATAATTAGGGTGCACCGAGCACTATTGTTCATTCTGGATCAGTCTGAGGTTGATCTTCTTTGCTTGGAATATCCAGAGTGCTTGATGGGACATCTTTTTAATCTGCTTGCATGATTCCATATCTGGTTCTCCTCAGTCAGAACGGCTCTTCTGGTGATGGCAACAACGGTTGTCAGAGGGCTGTACGTTGGATCAAAGGTTCCGGATTTGAAGAGGGATTTCACCAAGACTTTGTCTCCAGGCCTGAAAGGATGTGTGGTTGTACCTGAAGGATGAGGAAGAGATAGAGACAAATCACCATAGATGCCATTCAATGTGTCTACAAGGTTCAATACATATAACACAACATTTAGGTCTCCGCTCACCATCGAAGCACCTTTGGACTTACATCATGTAGTTGGAAAAGGTCTCCCCATTAAAATTTCAAATGGTGAATAACCCGTAGTGGAACTAGGGGTCATTCTGATCTCAGCTAAAACTGCTGGTAAATTGTCTGGCCAATTGCGTGTGCTACCCAAGCCTCCTTTTGTCAATTTCTCCTTGATCGTTCTATTCATCTTTTCTACTTGCCCTGATGACTGAGGGTGATAGGGTATATGAAATTTCCAATCTATACTCAACATTTTACAAACCTGCTGTGTAACTGCTGAAGCGAAAGGAGTTCCTTTATTACTATTAATCATAACTGGGCAGCCAAAACATGACTACAATACAAGAAAATACTTAAGTCCACCTTTTTGCCGTTGTCATATGCATGAAGTCAGTTTGTAAAATTAACATTGGGCCTTCCACTGGAGGTAACTGTGGTTTGGTAGTATTAACTCTTGCACATGTTAAGCACCTGGATAAAAATATTGGTAACTGTCTGATCTAACCTGTTAATTACAAATAGTTAATTTAGCATAGCCAATACCCCTCTTCGTCCGACATGTCCATAGCCATGGAACTGTCGGACGAGTAACACAGAAGAAGCTTGAGGGATTGCTATGCGACCTTTAGGATCCTTGAGGATACCAGAATTTGCATCAGGTGTAACAGAATGTATACTCTAGTAAGCTAAGTCATCCGAAGATGATGCAGCCTGCACAGAAAGAATATCAGTATCATCAGTATGAGTGGCTATATGCAGTTAAGACCTGGTCAAAAGAAACAGTACTGTAATCTGCCCATAGAGGAAAAGAGGCAGCTGCCCTTTTCGCCACCAAATCTGCAAAATCATTACCATCTCTGACCATGGAGTGATCTGTATCATGGCCCTTGCACTTCACAATAGCTAAAGATCTAGGTAACAGTATGGCCCTCAATAATCCATCAATTAATGCAAAATGAGAAACAGTTCGACCATCAGCTGCAACAAAGCCTCTAGCCTGCCAAATGACACCAAAATCATGAACCACTCCAAAGGCATATCTCAAATCAATATAAATAGTCACATCTTGATCTTTAAAAGCAATACAAGCTTGTGTAAGAGCAATCAACTCCGCCTGCGCTGAGACAAAAGGTTAAGAACCTGCAGCTATTACACTATTAGGTATTTGTACAACTGCAAAACCACAAAGGAAAATAAACCAATATCTGATTTCAAAACTCTGACACAAAATCTTGCTCAGCCCAAAATACACAGAACCAACCTACATCAGTACCAGGTCTACCATGTTTAGTGTCCAAATTAAGAGCCATTTCTGTTGGTGAAATATCAGCATATTTAAAAACAACAGACAATAAAAACGAAAATCTGCCCCTCCAAACTGTTGATCCATTGTTACTCTTTCTAAATAATTAATAGCTCCTTCTGGAAGCTTAAACGGATCAGGAAACTGAGTACTAAGAAACACCAAATGTGATCCATAGGGAGGCTTAATTATAACAGTCTCACCAGCAACTACAAAAGGATAGGCAGAAACAGACACATGACTGGGAACTAGTACACCATGACTCTTATCACCCTCATCCACCACTAAAACACTATCAACATGCTTTTTTCCTGCACCAACATCCACAAACTTTCTAGTCACTTTCTCATTTTTTTCATACCAACATCAACATTTTCTGCAGTGGATCTCACCATTGCAGAAGGATTCACAACCATCTATCCAACATGCCTTTTCCCTCTACCAATCGCCATAAAAATTTCATCAGTATCAATATTCTGAAAAATCTTTTTTTAATTCATCCAAACTGTGATATAATGGTACAACAGAAAGCACATAAGCAGGTGATGCTGCAGAAGCCTGAACATACTTTGTAGTCTGATCAGGAACAAACCATAACTGAGCACACTTTAACCATCCTGTAGCTGCATTATGCATATACTTTTTATCCCATTTTGGATCTCCACCTGGACCCCACTTTTTAAAACCTTTAATACACATACCTTTCAGCATTTGCAAATGAAAATCACTAAAAGAACCCTCTCTTGGCCATGGATTACAAATCATTGTATCAAAATTCTCTAACCATACAACTAAATTTGTACAAAATGGCTCAGCATAGTATTGCTAATAGTTTCTTGAACAAAATAGCATGGAGTTTGGCCTAATTGAGGACCCTGAGACTTGACTTGGGGAGTACGTGACGCAGCACTATTAGGGACATCTTTAGATGATTTAAATTTTACAGAATTTTGTTGGGAATTTTTTTTTTTTTTTTTTACCATTACTGGAGCCCATTTCCAACTTCATACAGATAACACTTTACAATATATAACACTTTATATATAAGCAATGCACACTTTTTTTTTTAACAATACAACTATACATGCAGCGCTGCAATAAACAAAAATAAGATTTATTCTACTGTGTCCAAACCGTGCATTCAATATAGTGACTAAATGTGGTCACTCAGTGGGACTGCTATACCCACTATATACAACTTACCGACAAGATGGGACTCTAACCCAGAAAATATAAATGTTTCTCTTATACAACTTAACATGGGACTCTAACCCAAACTTAACATGGGACTCTAACCCAAACTTAATATGGTACTCTAACCCAAACTTAACATGGGACTCTAACCCAAACTTATCATGGGACTCTAACAAAACTTTATATGGGACTCTAACCCAAACTTTATATGGGACTCTAACCCAAACTTAATATGGGACTCTAACCCAAACTTATCATGGGACTCTAACCCATACTTATCATGGGACTCTAACCCATACTTATCATGGGACTCTAACCCATATTTATCATGGGACTCTAACCCATATTTATCATGGGACTCTAACCCATATTTATCATGGGACTCTAACCCAAACTTATCATGGGACTCTAACCCATACTTAACATGGGACTCTAACACATACTTATCATGGGACTCTAACCCATATTTATCATGGGACTCTAACCCAAACTTATCATGGGACTCTAACCCAAACTTAACATGGGACTCTAACCCAAACTTATCATGGGACTCTAACCCATATTTATCATGGGACTCTAACCCATATTTATAACAAAAACAAAAAGAAAGGCAAAACAAAAACAAGAAAACATTACTTTTCTGCAACCACAAAAATTTGTTCAGAGAATCCAAACAGGGCAAAGAACACAAATATAAAACACAAAATGTTCTTACCCGATTTGGATTCTCTCTCCACTTCTGACACCATATTGTTGTGGTTTAAATTCAGCAGACAGCAATGCTTTTTCTCAGGTATGAAGACAAGGAATGGACACAGCAGAAATACGAGCTCGGAGGGCAGTACTCATTCACACAAGTGTATGGCAGAATACTACACCTAATTTTAATGGGGAGAACACAGATCTTATAACAAAATTCTGTACACATCCAAAAGGGGTTGTCTTCACATAATACAGTCATGTCCTGTCAATTGCATATTCAAAGAACTTAAAGCACATTTGGCATTAGCTGGTCAAAAGGTGTTACTCGATTACACAAACACTTCCCAACAAGGTGTTATCAGGATATGCAGTGCAGGGGGGGAAACAAGAAGAAGATACAAATCAGGATCAAAGGCCAGCTGTTATAATAGAGCATCCTGACATTACTAAATCTACTGTGTAGTGTGACACAGGATATAAGGGGAAAGGTGCTCATTAATCCATATCAGCCCCCAAGCGGCTTACACTCCTGGCAATCAGTCTCTATCAGCATTCAGTAAATCCTCCCCCCAATAATGAGACGAAACTTCACTTTGAGGGTTAAGCAGGAACTGCCCTGTAATGGCCACACACTGGCTTTTATGCAAGTCCCCATGCAAGGGGACATCCCACAGGGTGGGACACCGTACAACCAATCGTTTGCAAGAGAACCGTAAAACACACCCACAATTACATCACAATCCCTCCTCTCTGTCCTGGAGATAATTGTGAATTAATTCATTTATCTCCAGGACAGAGGCAAGACTCCATTAACCACATGGCAGTAACAATACAATAAAAGACATAAAATTACATACAGTTACATTTATTCCATAAAACATAGACATTCTACCTATCCCCAGATAGCTTAGATCTGAGCGCACATTACTACCGAATGGCGCTCAGATCACATACATACAGTTCAATCACCATGGAGCCAAAGTCTTTCATACAGTCTTTCAGTATACGGCATAGCTATCTGGGGTAGCATGGCTTTAACAGTCCGCAGAAAGGCACGAATAAACCTTTCTGCCGGTAAAATAAAAGTTTAAAATGCAGGACCATAGTCTAAAGGGAGCAGGCGAGCAACTAGGCTTCTCCAGTGTACAGTGGCGAGGTTGGTTTCGCCACATATATGTATGCTGTTGCCGAATCGTACAACATGGTTATTTAATTGTTTTTAATAACAATAAATGTTTTTCACATTTTTAAAAATATCCCATATTTCACCAATGTTATACACAAACTTTAAATGGCCAGCATTAACATATTGATTTATGGACTTGTAAAAATATGTGATATTTTGGGTCAGGCACCGAGTGTAGTGGTATTATGGGGACAGGCTTAGACACTGTGGTGAGGCCTAATAGAAAGCAGTTGTTTTTGGGGGATTCTATCATTAAAGGTGTGGAGATGGACAATGGTGGTCTTGTGAGATGTCTTCCCAGAGCTACTGCTCACAGGTACAGGAGATATATTTGTAATATTGTTCAGCGAGCAAAGCAGGAAGGGGAATTAGATGTACTTGTCCATCTAGGGACAAATTACTTGGCTTGCAATGAGATTTCAGAGGTAAAGGAAGTTTAGTGTTTTTGCCAATTAAATATGGCAGGTTGCTTTCTGACTGTCATTCTCTGAAGGTGTGCCTATGCATAACACTCAGGATGACAGGCGGATGCGTATTAGGGACTTTAAAGGACCACTATAGTGCCAGGAAAACATACTCGTTTTCCTAGCACTATAGTGCCCTGAGGGTGCCCCCACCCTCACGGTCCCCCTCCCGCCGGACTGGATGGAGAGGAAGGGGTTACACTTACCTCTTTCTCCAGCGCCGTGCGGGAAGCTCTCCTCCTCCTCTCCACCTCCTCTTCGGCTGAATGTGCATGCGCAGCAGGAGCCGCTCGCGCATTCAGCCAATCCATAGGAAAGCATTCACAATGCTTTCCTATGGATGCTAGCGTCTTGTCACTGTGATTTTCACAATGAGAAGCGCGGAAGCCCTCTAGCGGCTGTCAATGAGACAGCCACTAGAGGCTGGATTAACCCTAATATAAGCATAACAGTTTCTCTGAAATTGCTATGTTTATAGAAAAAAGGGTTAACCCTAGCTGGACCAGGCACCCAGACCACCTCATAAAGCTGAAGTGGTCTGGGTGCCCATAGTGGTCCTTTAACTTGTGGCTTGGTGAATGGTGTTGGGAGCAAGGATTTGGCTTCACTGCTCATTGTAGCTCTGTTTGGAAAGGAAATAAACTGTACAAAAAAAGATGGTTTGCATCTCACTCAAAAGGAAATACACGTTCTCAGTGAGCAGTTAAGAGGTTTTGCTAAGATGTATTTAAACTAGGATGGGGGGCAAGAGGGTGATAAAACATCAATCCAACTTATGTAGGTGTGATTTAGAGGACACCAGGACAAATAGAAGAGTTAGATAATCTACAATGGCAGTGAAGGGGGAAGTTATCATCATGGGTGTGTTTAATCTCCCTGATGTGAACTGGAAAACCAAAATAGCTGCTTCTGCCAGGTTAAATTTGCACTGCTGAAGACAACAGAAAATTGCATTAGGCTTGTCAGTAAAAGCAAAACATTTACGAAACCTGTGTGGTACTTCAGAGATGTGACCAAAATAGTAAAAACTAAAAGTTAGCATTTAGGAATTATAAAAAAACCCTGAGTGAGGAAGATAGACAGATATATAAGATTAGGCAGAAAAAGGCTAAGCAAGTTATAAGAGCTTCCAAATCATACACAGAAGAGAAAATAGCACAGTCAGTAAAAAAGGGGACAAAACATTTTTTAAATACATAAATGTGAAAAGGATAGTGAAACAATATTAGTTCAATAACTAATATTAAAATAAAATACTAAGATTACAAACAAAAGAAGGCAGGTATGTAGAAGAGGATAGAGGTCTAGCTGACTGATTTAATAAATATTTGTGTTCAGTATTTACAGATGCAAATAAAGGAAAGGGGCCTCAGTTAAGAAAAAGGACAAATGAGTAATTTGTTACATGTGAGTTTACAGAAGAAGAGGTTTTATATCAACTGTCAAAAGTAAAGACAATGGGACCTGATGGAATACACCCAAAGTTATTAAAAGAGCTTAGTGGTGTACTGGGAAAACCATTAACAGATGTATTTAACCAAGCATAGTTAACAGGAGTAGTCCCAGAAGATTGGAAGTTGGCTAATGTTGTGCCCATTCACAAGAAAGGTAGTGGGGAGGAGTCGGGCAACTATAGGCCAGCAAGCCTTACTTCAGTAGTGGGGAAATTAATGGAAACCATGTTAAAGGATAGGATTGTTGAACATCTAAAATCACATGGATTTCAAAATCAGAGACAATATGGGTTTACTTCAGGGAGATCATGCCAAACTAATATTATTGATTTATTGGATTGGCTAACTAAAATAATAAATCAGGGTGATGCAGCAGACATTGCTTACCTAGATTTCAATAAGGCTTTTGACACTGTTGCACATAGTAAACTGCAAT